GATTGTCCCATTTATCATAAAATTCTAACAGCCTAATACACAGAATGTACTACCATTTTTGTTTAGTTCTTCAAATTTCCCGACTTTTCCAAACCCTTTGGCTAAATCCCCATACAGGTTATATCAATACCCAAAAAGCAAACAAATTTTCTGAATAGTATCTAACTATGGCAGCAAAAAACTTTTGTGATTGTTATCCAATTTTGAGTTCTATCTGCACCCAATCCAAAACTTCTCCTAATAAATTTCTAGTGTACATTTCCAATCCTCACTAGACGAACTAAACACAGGCAATAAAGAAGAATCTTATTGAAAAAATTACCTGAAGATGACGCTTTTAAGGAGAAGCTTTTCTGGGTTCTGTTGCATTTGTGGTGGGACAAGTGTTTGCTAGGAGAAAAAATGGATAAGGGAGAAAAGGAATGATTTTTTTGAAGTATTCTAAGTGGGTTTTCACAATTTCTCGGAAAATAGTTTCTGGGATCTGAATTGCAGTTGTGGGATGGAATGTGTGAAGGAACAAATATTGAAGAGGGAATTACTGAAAGTCCCTGCATATTGAGATTACACTTGTGTGCTTCCAGTTTCAAATCAAGAAGAGCTGTTATGCGAAGTATGATTATAGCATTAGTTGTCAGTTCAATCTTTTAATTCACGAACCAAATTGGTAGTTGAGGTGGAGCCAAGATTCGCCACTGTAAAGAACAGAACAAATGGGCAATAGCTATAAGTAATTACCGCAGCACTCATACACTATTCTTTTGTTCAAATGACGTGCTTTTGAGATATTGTTGTAATGATTCTGACTTGTATTTTTCATACGGAGGACAAATGATTAAAAAAAAACTATACAACCCTTTTTAATCTTTTTAACTCATTTTGAGAAATATCATAAGAATTTAGTAAATCCTAAATATTCTAAAAAAATTTAATAATTATCCTCGTAATTTTATTTAAAATAATAATCTAATTTATAATTCATCTTTTTATAAATAATATTAAACAAATTCTTCACCAACGTGAGCTTGGTTACCATTATGGTAATTACAATTTTTGCTCGTAAAAAGAAATTTGGATGGCTCTTGTGCACAAAGACTACACAACGAGTTTATTAAACTAATATTGCAGATTTTATAAACATTTAAATTTTAATTAACTTTGATTGAAGTGTTAAATATTTGAATGATAAATACGATAACATAATAATTATAGATTTAAAAAGATGTATGACAATTAATAATTTAATTTTGAAAATTATTTGATAAGTGATTATTGAATTCAAATATTATACTTTTTTTTTTTTTTTCGATCTAACAATCCCTCAATATGTTTATATACGAAACTTATATAACATTATTATTAATGTGTAATATGTAATTTAATGATTAAAATATATAATTTTTAATAAAAAGTAGAAAAATAGAGAAATATTATATTGTGGAAGACTAACAAAAACAGAAGATTAATTGGACTTGTAGCTTAAGTAAATTTCAATAGAGGGATACAAAGCCGTTGGCAACAAAAAAAAAAAAAAAAAGGAAAAATTTCAAGAGGATAGTTTGACAATTACATTAAAACTCTTTTGAAAAATGGAAAATTTTGGGATTTCTGTTCTTCTTTTTTTCAAGCTTTCATGGACAACTTTGACAAAGACAGAGACTCAAATTGAGTCATTCCGCGTATGATTTTTCAGTTTCATTGTTTTTTAATTAAAAAAAAAAAAAAATTATTGAAATCTTATTTTATTTTATTTTCTAAAATGTTTCAGACATTATTAAACAAATGAAAAAGAAAAAGATAGAAAGCTTTTGAAACCTTAATTTTTGTCGTATCATCAACCTTTTCTTTTGCCTCTTTTTCCCATAAAGATTCCTCCTTTCAACAACTCTCTACCCAAAAATAGCCGTTGCATTTCTTCCTCTCCCTTTTCATTTTCTACCTACAGACCCTCTCTTTAAAACCCATTCTTCACCACTCCACACCACCATTTCAAACCAAGCTCATGGCTAAACCAGCTTTCTTCTCCTCCTCTTCCTCCTCTCTCCTGCTCTTCCTCATCTTCTACTTCATTTCAGGTTAATTTCCTTTCTTTTTTATGAATATTCTTGTTAAATCTCACATGGGTTCTTTTTGTTTTTGTAGCTGGAAATCACTTTTTTTGGCGATGGGTAATTAGTTTGATTGCATTCTGATGAGTTTGGATAGACAATTTATTGATTTCAGTAGCATTCTGATGGTATATCCCCATGTTGTTCGTAATAAGAATTACCCACTATCAATTGGGAGCAGCAATTTGAAAAACTCTCACTTTTTCTTTTAACGCTAGATTAATTTCCCAGATTTGCATGTGGGTTTCATGCATCAGAGAAGAAGAAAGAGTTTATTTGCATGAGTTTGAGTTTAAATAAATGAAAATGAATGATTTTCATAATCATTTTTCACTTTTTGCAGGGCTAAACTTCACCATGGCTACACAGGTAACACAAAATTATTTCTTTATTTAACTCACACACCAGAAACTAACTAGTAAATGATTATATATGATTTGGTTGATCATTATAATGATATATATATATGATTTGGTGAATGCAGAAAACATGGTGTGTGGCTAAACCATCATCACAAGATAAACCTCTTTTAGACAATATAGCCTACGTGTGCGATCAGGTTGATTGCGGGATTCTGAACAAGGGTGGTCCTTGCTACTTACCTAATAATTACATCAACCATGCCTCAGTTGCCATGAACCTCTACTATCAAGCAAAAGGAAGGAACCCTTGGAATTGTGATTTCACGAAGTCTGGTCTCATAACAATTACTGATCCAAGTAATTGTTCTTTGTTAATTCCCTCCATTATAATTAATGTTTATGATCATATATGATATAACACATATATATATATATATATCATCATGGTCTGTGTTCATTTGAAAGATTTCTCGTGTGATCTGTGCTGTAACATATCAGTAATGTTTGTTTGTATGATGTTGCAGGTTATGGTAACTGTATATATGAGTGATGACTTTTGTTGAAGAATCAAGCTGCAATAATTGCCTATCAGGGAGGGATATATATATATATATATATATGTATATGTACAAATAATATGATTCTGCCATGAATTTAGATTGTAATTAATTAATTAAATTCCCCAAAATAATGCAAATTCTGAAGAAGAAGTGTGTTTGTGTAGGAGCTTATTAAAATAATTGAATAATTAAACATATTTCAAAAATATTTTAAAAAGTCAGAAAAATCCCGCCAACAAGTCAATACTGAAATTAGAATTTTTATGTACTTGTTTGACTCAATTTATATTATTTTTGGTGAAAATTTGTAAAAATATTTACATTTATCATCATTTCTCTCTATCATATCATTAGATTAAATGTTACTTCATAATTAGTAAATTTATAATTTTAATTTTTAAATATTATTAATAAGAATCAAATATTGGTAATCAAATCAATATTGTTATTGTATATAATAAATTTATTAATAAAAATATCTAAATATGAGAGAATTTATTTCGTATTTAAAATCAAATTTTGTTTTTTGTTTTTTAATTCTTTATATTATTAATATAAACTTTCCGATCATATTTTATTGAAGAAGAAATTTTTTCAAAAAAAAAAAAAAGTTAAAATACACCATTTTTGTTTCTTCCTTTTACTTTTTATTAAAACTGCTTTAATAGTATCTAAAGGATCATCATCTATAGGGATCACACAAACTTGGCACGATGAATATTCAGAAATCCGTATATGCTTTAAACCCACAATTAGTCACTTGGAAGAGAAAAGAAAAGAAGATTACTTGGCTTCAATTTAAACCACCAGCTGATTCTGAACCACATCTAATCTAAGGCTCTCTTCATTTCTAATTCCCACTCTCTTCTTCCTTCTTTTATTTTTTCTCTCCTTGTCTCAATTAGCACTGATATATACGCGACAAACACACACTCCTATGTGGTTTTATTGGATCCACTCAATCCAACTCTCACACCTGTTGGTTCCCCATAGATAAATAAAACTTTTCTCCAAATCTTTTTCCTTCTTCCAACTTGTCCTCCACACCCATCTAACCATTCTCTCTCTTCTGCTCCCTTCACCGATTCTTCGTGTTCCTCTGATGGCAAATTGACTAAATTTTTATCTGGGTATATTTTTTTGAGTGAGAGACTGGTGGGTTTTTATTTTTATTTTTATTTTTATTTTTATTTTTATTTTTTTTATCTAATCTTTCTGGGTTTGAGGATGATGTCAATGACATGCCGCAATCTTGATTCTGGGACTAGTGTTCTTGATTCGGTGGGTTGTGGGTGTTCCTACAATGCTTTAGCTGATAGGTATTGTTTGAGAACTTGGGGGAGAGCGGTTTCAAGAGGTGGCAGCAGAAGCTATGGAGTTAGAAAATTGGTTTGCTTTCGCCGAGACGTTAGTCGTTGTAGAGTGTTTTCAACGAAGACTCCTGAAACTATGCTCTCCGGTAAGTTACTTAAGAACTAGTAGCGGTTTGTTTTTTACTAATGGATCTGTAATTTGTTATTGGCATCATTTGAAATTCAAATATTGATAATTTCTGTTTTGTGGGATAAGTACAGGAGTTGGTCAGGGTCCTCCATCAGTGTTGGATTTGAAGAAAGAGGCAAGAAGGCCAATATCTTTGGCAAATTTATTTGAAGTTGTTGCAGATGACCTCCGGACATTGAATCAAAATCTCCAATCTGTGAGTACTTCATTGAGTTCACTACTCTGCTGGTTGCAAAGTTCATATATTTATAACTGTACTAGCTGGCTGTCTTCTATACTATGTTATTTTTTATAAGCTGAATTTATATGGAAGGGACTGTATTTTTCTAATGAATTTCTGGAGGAAGGAGACTTTACTGGTATCTTTATATTCTGCTGGGAAGCAAAAGGTTGTCTATGCTTCCATGAGAAATAATGTTCTGTTAACAACAAGAGCATTCTAAAATCTCTTGGCCTTTTAAAATTTGGAAGTCTGGGTGATCTGCAGTAGTACTTCAAGTGGAAGCAAGGAGGATAGTGCCTGTAAAGCATCTCTGCCACCTCATGATCTGATTCTTTTAATTAAAATCTGTTTTGTCCCAACATGAGGTGGATTTGGGGACCTTATTTTGTGAAGCTAAAAACTTCTGCTAATCCGAGGAGGTTGATGCTCTTGGTAAATGTTTTATTAGTTTTCCACAAAAGAAGTGCGTGGCCTCAATTTTTCAGATGCCCATTTAGGATTATATGGATCTCGTTCTGTTAGACAAAAAGATAGTTCAATGATACCACATGACTACTGGTTAAACTGTTGTCTCTTGATGTGAGCATGACTACGGGTCTGGTGCCACTATTAAACAAATTCCATATTCATATTTTCTTCTATTTATTTCTGGGTGTCTTTGCATAGTGTTGAGAAGTTGCATATTTGATTTGTCCCACATAAGAGACAAGATCAGCTCAAGGTGATTCACTGTCTCATGTTTATCAAGGTCGTCTCTGAAACCATTATGTGGGGTGGCTGTTTTGCAAAATAAAGCAAATAGACATTTTAGTTCGATCAGATTCAGGTTTTATGTTCTGGTTCAATTTATGGACAGCAGGTCTATGGTGTGGTGCTTTTTCATTAAAACATTATTTGGATTTATCTTGCTCAAATTGGACTTTTTTGTATAGTTTGTGGTCTTTATGATGTACGATTGCAGAAGGTTCTGCTATTATGCTTGAATCTAAAATGTTCTGATCTTTTTATAACTAAGATATAGTCATCTAATGGATAATGCTTTTGTAGATTGTTGGTGCAGAAAATCCAGTATTAATGTCTGCGGCTGAGCAGATCTTTGGTGCTGGTGGCAAGCGGATGAGACCAGCCTTGGTATTTCTTGTATCAAGAGCCACAGCTGAACTAGTTGGGTTGAAGTAATGCCCTGAACTCTTTCTACAAGATACCTAGTAATTTTCAGCACAATATTCATTTCATATTGCTTTATTGCAGGGACCTTACAAGGGAGCATCGTCGTTTGGCTGAGATCATTGAGATGATCCATACTGCAAGTTTGATACATGATGATGTACTGGATGAAAGTGACATGAGAAGAGGTTAGCTACTGTAAACTCAGTGAAACTCATTTATATGCGATATTTTGTTGATATCACTTAGTGGTTGGTGCAAAGAAAGTAAATTATCTGTGTACCTTTTGGAAGTTCCTGCAACTAAGTGTATTTGAGTGCTGTTTGAATCACCGAATTGCTATTGAAATTCCAAAAGGCAAATGTATCTAGTGTCTTACTTAGGTGAGGGGGATGTGCATTTTGGTCTCCATCAAACAAAATCATATTCGTATTTTTATCAAGCACTAGCACCAAACTTGTGATTTTCTTGATTGTCATTTTTTCTAGATGCTGATGAAGTGGTTAAGGAATTCTCCAAATCAAACACACCTTGTAGAATCTTTCACAATCAACAGCTGAACAAAATATTTATTCCTGCATATGTTAGTTAAGTTCAGTTTATTACTAACTTGGGTTTTCTTCACTTTTTTGGGAATGTGGAGAAAAAGAAGTTCAAAAATGACATTCTGGACGCAAGAACCACTGATTCAAAAACTTTTGGACCCAAATTACTGATCTTCAAATACTTTTCGATGTGAGGTTAAAGCATTATAACATCCACCTCTAAAATTTTTGATGTCTTTATCAAGATCACATCTAAAAATTATAAATTGTAATTCAAATGACCGCATGGTTTAAAATCGCTGAGTTAGAATGGCTTGTATTAACATCCATTCGCTCAATGACTTTTGGACTAAATTATTGACACTTAAAAACTCAAGCCCAAGTTATTGCTGTTGTGTAATTTGAGACTTTATATAAACTCAACAGTCACATTTTTTCAGATGTGATATTTAGGATATCACCTGAAATGTTACTTTTTGATCATTATGTTAAAGATCTCAAGAATTTGCTATAAGTGTAATGATTGAGAAACAAATATGGTCAAATTACATCATGCTTAGCATGTTTTCCCTTCCCCCAATTCATTTCCTTTTGTACATTTTACCTCCTTTTGTTGTTTATCGTTGTGGTGATAGTTACTGCTTGTCTCCAGGGAAGGAAACTGTACACCAGATTTTTGGCACAAGAGTAGCCGTCCTGGCAGGGGATTTTATGTTCGCTCAATCCTCATGGTACCTTGCAAATCTTGAGAATCTTGAAGTCATTAAACTCATCAGCCAGGTATATCTTTAGCTTTGCCAGTTCAGAAATTCAAACTATTCGACTCTAGTTTTATTGACAGTTACCATATATGATGAAAAGGGTTAAAAGAAATTCTGGGCACCAGGAAGTATTTCTAGCATCTGAAGTTACTGAATTTTATGATTGACTAACAATATGGCAGGTCATTAAAGATTTTGCAAGTGGTGAGATAAAGCAGGCATCCAGTTTGTTTGATTGTGACATTGAACTTGAGGAATATTTACTCAAGAGTTACTATAAGACAGCTTCTTTAATCGCTGCTAGCACAAAAGGTGCTGCAGTTTTTAGCAAGGTTGACAAGAATGTCACAGACCAGATGTATGAATTTGGTAAGAATCTTGGTCTATCCTTCCAAGTAGTTGATGATATATTGGATTTTACTCAATCTGCGGAGCAACTAGGGAAGCCTGCTGGCAGTGATCTAGCAAAAGGGAATCTCACTGCACCGGTGATTTTTGCTCTAGAGAAAGAGCCAAAATTAAGAGAGATTATTGAATCTGAATTCTGTGAGACGGGTTCCCTCGACGAAGCTATTGAATTGATTAAAAGATGTGGTGGTATCGAGCTAGCACAAGAGCTGGCTAAAGGGAAAGCTCTTCTTGCTATTCAGAATCTCCATTGTCTTCCTCGCAGTGCCTACCGGTTGGCTCTGGAGGAAATGGTTATGTATAATCTTGAAAGGATTGATTAGTTTTGATATACTTGTTGGATCTTACCACAAATAATTATTTACAAGGAAGAAGATGGCTTGAAGCAGAAGCCTTTACCGGTTGCACAGGCATTTTCTGCATACCAGTCAGGACCTCATGACGATAAGCTTGCTTGTGTCTCCTTGTATATTCATTAAAGATATCACTCGGTGAATTCAGCTCTTAGTGTCATTTATCCTACAAGGTTCTCACATTGATGTGAAGAAAAATTACTCACTTATTTTTATATAAGTAATATATTTTACGGGTTTATAATTTTTTATTTAGTATTTAAGTGATTTTTTTTATCTTCTTGAATATTCTAATTTATTTTTTTTTTAATATTTTAATTTATTTTCTTTTTTTATCTCTCATAAGAGAGAAAAAGTGAGGGTTAAAGAAGGGAGAGAAATTTATCTCCCGAATAAGAGAAAAAGTGAAAGAGTTAAAGAAAGAGAAAATTTATCGCCCGAATAAAGAAAAAAACAAAAACATTAAAAGAAAGAACAAATTTAATCATCGATTCTTTCTTTTTTAACAGATTAGATTATTTCCCACCATTAGTTTGGTCTCAACTTCTCTTCTTAGTTCCCCTCATGTTTATAAAGGATTATATCTGCACCTTGATTCGCCAATGGACATTTTATGACATAACAATTAACAATTTTTAATATATCAAAGTAAAATACTCATACTCTTTTGAACTAAATAAGTTTTAATTGATTAGTTGCTTCATTATTAATTTCAATAACGATAATAATAATAATTTAAATAAATAAATTCACTACTGTTGATTAAACACCAGAGTTGCTGGACATTTAAGAGAAATCAAAGTTGGGTTATTATTCTATGGACTTAGTTTACTGAGTCAGGGCCCATAACTCGATGTACTCGGGGCCTCGGGCGACGTTGAT